TGAGTTGATGGAATTACCCCATACTCCGTAGTATGATAGTACTGCTAAATAGTTGTGTCTCGGTAATTTGGAAAAGAATAAATTTCATGGTACTCACTTATAAGTCATTTTACATATTTAGTGCCTATATATCAAAGTTTAATAATTTAATCTTCAATTATTATATAGGTTTCCACAAATGGTCTTTTGTTAACATTTGGGTTAGAAACGTGGATAAAATTGTAAATTCACATTCCTCTCTCTTCTCAGTTAGGCTTGCTCCATCCTCTCGTACTCCTTCTCAAACCTGTCGTTGAGTTTGAAAATCAAAACCCATAACCGAAACGATGACTCTTCTCTCAATTCTTCATCTTCCCGGTGGAACCTAAAATTGAAACCGATAACCTTCATGGATGAGTTCTATGGGTTAGTCTCACGAAATTACAAAGAAGCAAATCTTAAAACTTATCCATGAAGGTTCTGATGCGGTTTAATTTTGATTTTGGGTTCCAACAAGAAGACAAACAATTGAGAGAAGAGTAGTGATTTCAACTTTGGATTCAGAACTTCAAACTCGATGATGGGTTTGGGAAAAAGAGTAAGAGAGGGAGGAAACCTAATTGAAGAGAGAGGTGTGTGAATTTACAATTTTATCCACGCTCTTAACAAAAATGTTAACAAAGGACCACTTGTGGAAAACATACAATATAATAATTGAGGACTAAATTATTGATATTTAATACACCTTCCGTCCCTAAATATTTGTCACACTTGTATTTCCGAGCTAAAATATCAAGTTTTTCAATTCATTTTATTTACATATTGGTCTAGAAATAAAAAATAAAATTTAGATATCAAAAAACTACATGAAAAGTTCTTCGAAATAAGAGGTGTCAAGAATATTTTACTTTATATCAAATAACCAATAAAAACATAAAAATAAACAAAAATTCCTGCAACTGCTGAAAAAGCAAGTGTGGCAAATATTTTGGGACGGAGGGAGTATGTAGGGACTAAATATGTAGAACGAACTATAACTGGGAACCTTTTATAGAATTTACTCTTTGGAAAATAAGTAGTATAATTTTTTGTATTTTTATTAAAAGTTATTTGTAAATTTAAAATAGTTTAAAAATGAAGTACTTTTTCCATCCCAAAGAGATTTTTCCATTTGAATTTGATTTTTAGAAAATTTAAGGGTGAGATATTCTTGTGTTGACTTTCCAAAAATACACTTGATATGATGAGTAAAAAGTAGGATGTGTATATTATTAGCAAAAAAATATAATATGATAGGCAGATTAATAATTAATTAGTAGGGATAAAAGTGCTATAAATAAGAAAGATCTTGTGCGACAAATAAAAAAGAAGGGGGAATGAGTTTTTGGGACGAAGAGAGTATTACATAGGCACCCTCACTCTCCAATTATTTTTCCTTACTTTTTTGTTCAAGAGAGGAGGTATTAGTGTATATTTTCCAAACAACAAGTGATATTAGAACTTATAATATATTTAGAAATCACTCTAAATAGGACTAAAACATAGAGAAAAGTATCAAAATAGGGCTTTCATGTTTTTTCATGAAATAAGACTTTGCACTGTGGTAATGTGTCACTATACATGTGCACATTACTATGCTTTTTTGGTGATGTACATGACCATGTTTGGTAATGTAACTCCTATTTCAGGAATAAAAACATGGTATTTTTATTTTGATATATATTCAATGTTTTAATCATACTTTGGTCTTTCTCCCTAATATATTTTATTTTTCATTTATTTTAAATTTCTTTTATTGATTCATAGTCCTAATTGAAACTATACTGTACTTTCTTCTATTTTGTCATGTATTATATTACACCATCCCTCTCTGAAAACCTTTCTCTTTTTTTTTCATCCATCCCAAAAAACATTTCTTATTTCTATTAAAAAGTCACTTTTACCCCTTACTTTTTCATATCCTACCTATCACATCATACCTTTTTACTAATAATCTACCCATCAAATCCTACTTTTACCCATCACACCAAAAGACTTTTTTGAAAATTCAATACCAAAATACATTTCCTCTAAATCTTTTAAAAATCAATAACTCTCATGTTTTTAGGACCAATGGCGTATTATTCTTTGAGTAATACATACAATTATTTCATTATTAAATACTATTGGGGCTACCACCACTTTTGGTGACCTAAAAATCTTTGTCTTCGTTCTTGATGGGCGGCATCGCCATTAGCCGCCCGCCGAACCATTGTTCTTCCTCCGATCAATATTCCTCACCACTACCACCAAATCCTCCCGTAATACCCTCTACCAAAATCAAACAAAAACATGAACTTTAGCTCTCTCATCCATGTCCAACATGATATACGAACCTAGGCTAGGCTAAATCAGATTCATACCAACCCACATCTTTTATTTTTCCTACTTACGTACTACGTACATCATAATGAATAAAACAAGATATCTCCCTCATTAGTCATAAGGTGGGCCGAACTCAAGAATAAAAGAGAGACAAAATGAAGTCTAAAAATCTAGGGTAGAAAATAATGGTCAAAAGTTACTTTTGCTTTTCCCTAATTTTCAATTTTCACTGAAGTAATATTTCTACTTTTCCCTAGTTTTCCATTGTAATTATTAGAGTATAATGATGCAGATAGAAAATTTTGAATATGTATTTCCTAGTGGGAAGTTCGCATTCTATACATACAATTTTATTATTATTATTATTATTATTATTATTATTATTATTGTTATTATTATTATTATTATTCATCGTTAAACACGTATGTGCTCCACACGAAAGTTCGGTAAGGTACCAGCACAATATGCCACATTCACAAACAGGATTGGTCACAAATTCCTCAAACTTAATTACGGAGTACTATTTATGGTATAAATTCTCATTTTACAATTATTTTAGACTATTTAATTGTTTTTATAGAAGTTTACAAATAGTAAGTTAATCAACCATACTATAATTACATCAAGAAATGTACCTCAAAGTTATACCAAAAATATATACTAACATTTTGACTGTTCACACTAGCACAAAATATTAGTGCGGTAAGAAATTTTTATACTAACATTTAGTGTCTCTGTGAAGCATCACCCTAACACAAAAAGTAGGTGCACACCTGCGATTTATAAATTGGGGTATAAATTTTGGGGTGCAAATAGCTTAATCCTTTATCAATTTGGTAGAGAGTATGTTTTATGTACGAAAATTATGCAATATAATTGAATTTTTAATATACTCCGACACTCCCAAATGTTTTTACGGATATAAGTTATACCTTTTTATTTTTATACGGAGTACTAATTTATGAATAAAATAATTTTAGAAGAACTTTTCATATAGTTTGAATAATAAAAATCCTACTCCTCAGAATTCACGGAGAAGTTCACCTAATTTTATTACCTTATAATCGACTCATTAACACTCAAATATATTAACAATTTTAGAATTAATAATATTTTGCACGTAATTCAAAACAAAATGGGGGAAGAGGCACTTTTCAAAAAACAAAATTTTTACCTTTTCGGCCGCTATGTGTGCTTCCCCTCTTCCCTTTCTTCTTACTCGACGCCACGTCAGCTTTTAGCTTTTACTTACATTTCCCCTTCAATTTGTAATATTATTTACACTAATTTAAAATTAAATAACTAAACTAAAAACATAAAGGTAATAAAATAATTGAACATTTTATCAAACTTAAAATAATTGAACATTTCATTAAAATTTAAATAAGAAATACAATAATTGTGTGTCTAAGAAATATATTTGTATAGGTAATACTCTGACTCGTGTAACCCGAATACATGGACTAGCGGATAGGGTTCTCACTAGATTGGTATCCAATCACATCATATTTTCAAAACAAGTAGCGGCCTCGTGTTGGGTGTAAACACCTTCCACTTAGGCCCCGTTCCGATCCGTTCAACTTATTTTTCTATTATTTTTTCTTATTCTTATTAAAATCAGATCAGATCGAATCAGATCAGATCAGATCAGAACGAATCAGATTAGATCAGATCAGATCTAATCATATCAGATCCAATCAGATCAGACCAGATCAGATCTAATAAAGAATTATTATTATTATTATTATTATTATTATTATTATTATTAAAAATGAAAAAGAATAAACTTTAGAAACAAGTTAAATAGAAAACTGAGAAATCCTTTATATATATATATATATATATATATATATATATATATATATATATATATATATATATATATATATATATATATATCCCTACTCTTCTACTTGTTCATCTTTCTCTATATTAGTGGCTAGTTAGTACCTCTCCAAGTAGTTGTTTTAAAAATAAAAATGAGAATGATTGTTCTCTTAAGAAAATATATTTTCTCATCCGGAAAATATCATTTCATTACCTTTATAATATCATAATTACCTTTATTTTTTCAGTTAGGGGCTGTTTGTTTCAGCCTCTAATGGTTCAGATGTCTGAATGGTTCAGCACTAAATGGTTCAGACTGTTTGTTTCAGCCTCTTAATGGTTCAGATGTCTGAATGGTTCAGACATTTGCCTCTGAATGGTTAAGTATTATACAGAGTCTGAATGGTCAAGACCTCTTATCTGAATTGATCAGACATTTGCCTCTGAATAGTTAAGCAATATACTAGCTCTTAATAGTTCAGACCTCTTACTGGTTCAGCACTTAATGGTTCACACCTCTTACTGGTTCAGCACTTACCTATTCAGAAGTTGCCAAACAGCCCCTTAGTATATCTCAATTACCCCAATTAACATATGTCACGTATACCCACTTTCATTAAGGGTACAATAAACATTTATATAATTTTTCTAACTCTTCTTGAAATGCGTGAGAAGTTTGTTAAAGATTATCATTCCCAAAAGAAGAGAGTAATAAAAATATTTTGAATCAAAGAAAAGAAAAGAGAAAAATATATGAGGATGAGATAATGGGCGTGTTTGGATATTGGTAGATGGGCCAGATTTAGCAATTTGACCATGAACAGCTGATTTAGGTCATTAATAGTTGATTATTGGGCAAATAGATGTTGTGCCTAGCAGATGGTGGAATTGAACAACCAATAATCTAAATGGGGGGATGAGTAGCACTTATTATTGAACATTAATTAATACATTAGAGAAAGAGGTACGGTACGTGCAATACGTACAACACCACTGTATAACCATTATTGTTACATGTCCTCCACACACACAGAGATAGAGATTAATTATTATAAGAAATACAAATACATATACAAAGACACATGCATGCATGTCCCAGTATACGTAGTGCACCCCCATGGAAGCAAGCTCTATCGATCGAATCCCAGTGTAGTACGTATATATAGCTGCATGGGATGATCGAATAATTGGCTTTTATTATTTGTTAAATTAAGGCTCCGCCGCCGCCGCAATATCAGCCGCCTCCCCCTTATACCCGCAGCACCCGTATCTGCAGTAACCGTATCTGCAGTGTCCTCCTCCGCCACCGCCTCCATAGTGCCCGCCGCCACCTCCATAGTGCCCGCCACCACCTCCATATTGCCCGCCGCCGCCTCCATAGTGCCCGCCCCCGCCTCTGTAGTGCCCACCGCCGCCTCCGTATTGCCCGCCATGTCCGTATCCGTCTATGTGCTCATTTCTTTTATCAGCTTCGGTTGCTGTACCAAAGCATAATGATTTTTATACTCCGTACTTATTATTTTTACTCAAAAATAAGATAGATAGAGGCGTATAATGCATGCATGCATGGCGTATTGTAAAACAAAGCGCAATACAAAGTTCCAAAATGTCATGCCTTTAATAAAAATGACCAATTACATAATTCAAGTAAAATAAGACATTATTAAAAAAGATTTTAATAGTCATTAAAATAATTAGTCATTATCTAATACAATTATTTAATACTTGTTGCTAATGACCACATTCGTAGAGCCATTTGTATAGCAAACGACCATATTCGTAGAGTCATTCGTAATCAGCCATTGTCCAATATTTTTTGTTAATGAGAACATATATGGCAGATCATATAAAATTATGTGACATAAAGAGAATAAAATGTTCTTAGTCCTTTTCAGGGAAACATACTATCGTTTAGTCTTATATGAGCAAAATTTTCTAAAACAAGTTAAAGTTAATAAATTTTTACACACAAAAACATCAAAATTTGTAATGAAAAAAATTCAAATTTATATTATTCGTATCATAGATGCAGAAAATTAAACGATATTCATGCATGTACTTACTGTCAGAGGAAGCATGAACCATAGTCTCGGCCAATTCCCTGGCCGAGACCTCAGAAGCAATGAGGAGAGAAACGGCCAAAGAAAGGCCAAGGAAGAGGAACAACTTTGAACTCATCATTAATTATATATTTTTTTCCCCAAAACTCACTACTTTTTTTCGTATGATGAATATGTTATTGTAGGATGGTGATGGAGAGTGATGAGTTGCAGCGCCCATTTATAGGAGGGGTTTGCAGGGTTGGGACTGTTCCTATTATTAGTGTGAACTGTGCAGTGATAATAATCAGAGCCACAAAAAAAGAAAGGACAAGCAGATAGGGACAAAGTTCATTTAATTGTAGGGGTCCATGGTTTCGCTGGCAGTTGAGCTGATATAATTAACCCTGGGGGATTTAACTACTCGTATATGGAGTAGTATTACTATTTCAATTTTGTCCTAAAACGTTTTCCTCGTTTCTATTTACAAATTCCGAGTTATTTTATTTTTAATTTGATTTATTTGATTGTAGCTAGGTATAAAATTAAAAAATAAAATTTATATATTTTAAAACTACATCAAAGTTCTACAAAACAAAATGTGACAAGATTATTATTTTATCAAATAATTATCGAAAATAGATAAATAAAGAAATTAAAGTTTGTGTTGGGTTGGTTTGTAGCGGTATCTGTTTATCGTCCTAACAGTAGGCCGGCCTACCGTCCAGGCGGTATCTTGGTACTGTTTGAGCAGTAGCTTGCATTGATACCGTGTCTTCGGAAGTTTTGAACAGTGTCATCTTTAACCTCTGACTAATTTTAAAAACTTCATCTTAAGCTATCAAACTTCAAATAAACTATATAGAAATATTCTCCAAAGTTCATAGATCATTTTGGTACCATTAATTCGAAGTTTTAACAACAATTTGAAGGTTTTTTTTATTCATGGTTCATCAACTATGTTAAACACGAGACTCAACCAAATGACCGTTTATGAACGTAGAAACAATTTATATGAAGAATATTCTAATCACTAGATATATCTAAGGGCTTAATTCGGGCTAAAATGGAGGTTTTGGAAATTTTCTGGTGAAACATCTGACGACCACCATGAGTATCTCTGGCAATTCCGGCGGTAGCGAACTATATATGGCGTCTTGCTCTAGCTCCTTACTCTCGGGAACACAATGAGACTAATATCAGAAGAAATGGTGAAGATTTCGGGAAGAAGAGCATTATATTGCTTATATAGTGAAGAAGGAGAAGAAAATGTCATGCTTGCCGCGTCATAGTCGATCCGCAATCGGCTTAGTGGAGTAGGAGGTGTCGTCTGAAGAATTACACGTCTTCCCTTGATTGGGACTAATACTGGTCCTGATCGGGGTACACTTTTTTGTCTAATTTTCTCCGAATTAAAATTTGATTACAATGTTGTAATCAGACCATCAAACTCTACGCAACTATATACTTTTTTTTTATTTATTTGTAATACATTTTCTAATATCATATTTTTGGATGTTTGACTTAGATAGAGTCAAAACTAATTTAATTAATCTTTTATTCAGAGGATTCTCATATTCATATTATACAAGATAATGATTTATTTCAATAAATTATTCAAGAGTTCAAGTCAATCAAACAAATCTTATTTTAGGTCTGTACGCTGGTCTTTAATCAAGACCATACATTAAATTTGTGTATTGGATTCATCCATACTCATGATATTGGATATCAAATATTTTCAAATTTTGCGCAAGGTCCAACAATAATTTATTTTAAACAGAAACAAATTTGTTTATTTGAATAATAATTTCAATAATACTTTTAGGGTGCGTTTTAGGGCGTTACATGGTACAGTGAGTTTATAAATAAAGTTATTTGTACTTCAAAAAATATACCCCACTTTGTACCCCAAAAAAATACACCAATATTTTGTGTCTGTGTAATACTATCATGATGTTTTTCATTGTCACAAAATGTCGGTGTAAATTTTTTTATTTAAACTAATATTTTATGTCCGTATGAATTTTAAAAATGCTAGTACATATATTTGGAGTACAACTTGCGATATATTTCTTGGGGTAGTGATTGAAATTTTATTATTTATAGTGGGAGTATGAGAGTGATTAGAAAATCAAAGAGCGTAGGCCCGGGGGGAGTAATTACGACAAGGATGCCTGAGCTATAGTGTGGTCAAGTGGGTGTGTTACCTTCCAGGAACAATCGGGTGACGTGTTCCGGATCAGATTTTTAAGCTTAAATGGATTGGATAATATCGTCCCTAAACAAGGACAAAACAATGTCATGTGGTAGCGTCCCAAAACTGGTGGTCACATGACTCACATCCTTCAGTGTTCTACAATTGGGGTATATTCTCTCCAGATTTTAAAAAATTCTAATAGATTGTTTAAAATTCATAGATTTTGTAATTGGATTATTTTAAGTTTACGCAGAATTAGATAGATTTTAATGTATTTTACCACCTAGATTTTATAGGATTCTAGCCGATTGTTTATAATCTATGGACTGTTTATACATACATTTGAATTGTTTTAAAAATCTATACTTTGTTCCAACATTAATTATTTTTATGAAATTGACCAAAAACTTATTTTAAAAAGAAGAATACATTTTTTATAAAAACCTAAAGACAACACAAAAGCATTATATTTTTTAAAAAACGGGCAAAGTAAATAAGCGCGTACCATACAAACATAGGCCAAATAGCTTCGGCGCCCCGTGTGGTTTGGAAAATTGGCACCAATACCTCATATATTTTCAAAACTTATTTATAAAGTCTCTGTGGTTTCAAAATGTTGCACCCACACCCCCTCTGATCATTTTTCAGTGACTTTTCGGCAAAGAGGGGGCATTGGTACATAATTTCTAAATCACAGGGGGCATTCGTGCTCATTTCTTGTTTTCGTTTATTATTTGTGTTTTCCCTTTTTTTAAAAATATTTTCTATCTCTTTTTCATTTTCCTAGATATTTCTTTAGAATATATTTTTAATTTTTTATAATGTTTTTCAAATTTTAAAATTCTTTGTGTTTGAAATAAAAATAAAAATAAAAAATTAACATACATTATTACACCTATCTCAAATTAAATATTTTTACTTTTTGTTACTTAGAATAAATTTTTTTAAAAGTTCAAAAAAAAAACCTTGAATAAAAAAATAAAAGATGTCTATTTTATTTGTGTCTTATATTTCAGAGTAGTTATGATCCTAATTTCATACGGAGTATCACTTCTCCAAAGCCTTTTACCTATATCAATGCAACATACAAGCCCTACTGTCAGAGCCATTCCAATAAGATTCCATCCTAATACTCATATGTTCCTTTCAAATTCTGTGTTTTCTACTCCCTCCGTCCCGTGAAACATGGGACATTTGTTTTTTAGAAGGGATTTAAGGGAGTGTATTTTGGTATTGAATTTCCAAAAATGTCCTTTGATGTGATGGGTAAAAGTATGATTTGATGGATAAATTATTAGTAAAAAGGTATGATGTGATAGTTAGGGTATAAAAAAGTAAGGGGTAAAAGTGACTTTTTTAATAGAAATAAGAAGTGTTTTATGGGACGAATAAAAAAAGAAAGGGGAAATGTTTCACGGGACGGAGGTAGTAATTACTACGGAGTATTTTTTTGTGAATAATAGTTATTCGATTATTGGAAAAAGCTGAGACCCTAACGGTTGATGAAACATATAGAATCAGATATATAAATCTGGTTCAAGATTTTGAAGCAATGATATCCTGCCAGACGACAGAGTGAGGTTCGAGAAGAGGAGAAGATCGAGAAGATGAAGAACACTCTTGAGCCACCTGCTTGCGGAAGAGGAGAAGATAGAGAAGATGAAGAACCTGTGCTGAAGAAGAGAAGAAGACCGACAGATTTGGAGGAGACACAAAATCCCTATACTAGGCTTTTGGCTGGATTTGCAAACAAGATTCTTATTTATATTTCAAGTAAAAAATCCTTCAAAGTCTTTTATTTTTTTAATATCATTAGATTTAGAAAGATTTTTTAAATTTTCAATTTAATACCTTCAGATTTTAAATGATTTTTCAAAATACTAATTGAATACCCACAGACTTTTAAAACTTAAAAAAATCTTACAAAATCTCAAATGAATACACCCCCTAATACACTATATTATAACAAAATTACTAGTGATAAAACAAATTAAATATATAAAATGATATTCTTTTCGTATGAAATTAAGTTGCTTGTTTACTATTTATTTTTTAAATTTATTTTTCCGTAGAAATGTCACTTAATGTAATTTTTAAATATGTAAATTATACTGCGTATTTTTTTCCTTTAATTCTCACATAAATTGTACTCTCTTCATCCCTAAAAGATTGCCATAGTTTGACTTTTTTTGGTCAAACTGTGACACACTTTAACCACGAATTAAATATAATTTAAAATAATTAAATATCATAAAAAAACTTGTTATTTAAAAACTATATTTTAAAATAAACCTAATTACAAAATTTACTTTATAACTAAATATACTTGTTGGGTTATGGAACCCAAGGGTAGGGGAAGAGGGAGAAATATGTGTTAATTAGATGAAGAAGATGATGAATAGTGGTGATCCTCTCTCTTTTCCCCCTCTTTCCCTCTTCTTGGAAGAGGGTATAAAAAAGGAGAATCAGGGTTAGGGTTTCGGACTAATGGGCCGGCCCAACAGACTGGGCCGCCCTAAATAACAAATATGCAACTAATCGGCTGGCCCAACAGACTGGGCCGCTCTTAAATAAATAATTAATGTACGACTAACGGGCCGGTGCAACAGACTGGACCACCCAGGGTATCCATCAATACTTTTTTCATAATTCACGGTCAAATGGTTTCACAGTTTGATCTAAAAAGTCAAACCTTGACGTTGTTTTAGAGACGGAGGGAGCAATGGAGCATTGAAAAAAATCCAGTCAAATTTCTTTAAATTGGTACGAAAAAAAGTATATGATTGAAGTTTGGGAATAAAAACAGGATATGAGACTATGAGTTGTACATCTTTTTCTTAACAAAAATGCTAGGGGTACAACAAATCTTGTACCCGTACCTCCCTCCATCTCCACCACACAAAAGCAAGAGAAGAAAAAAAAGTAAAAATAAAAAAGGAAATCAATGGCTAGGATCAATGGTTTATTTGGTGTACCCCTAGCATTCCTCTTTTCTTAAAATGAAAATGAGAAGATTAAGAAAACACTCACAACAAGAGTAAAACGTATGGAGTACAAGTAGTT